TGAAACACAAAGTCTAGCTGCTACAAGTGTCTGTGTCTCTATGACTTCACTATGAGCACCAACAGCAGGGGGAAGATGGTCTTCTCCTCTTACTCCTCTTCATTTCTGCCTCCCCAAATCTCAGTGAATCTCATCAGTGGAACTTAATTTACATTCTGACTTAGCTGCAAGGGAGTCAGGGAAATGCTATTTTTAGATTTCTAAGAAGGTACATAGAAGGGGATGGATGTTGTATACCAAATGATACATTCATTGTACACAGCATATCAGTGTTGAATCCAGGATCTATTACAGTTCCTCTCTCCCAGACCAGCCCTCCCTCTCCTTTGAACCTTCCTGGTTCATAGTCCTTTCTCTCTGAGCATTTAAACATTTCCCCTAGTCCTTTAAACACTCCTCCATCTTCCCTCCCAGCCCAATAAGTGACAATAGTTCCCAAATGCCCAGCAGCAGAGCTATACGGATCTGAGACAAGGTGGTTGTAGGAGTAAGGTGACCAGATGTTCCTTCTCAGAGAAAACTGATCCTTTTTTCTAGAATAATGTTTTTTCTTTATTGGTAGTGATTTTATTATTCATGCTGGATTATTAATATTAATACTGTTATGATTATCATCTCTTCTCAACTCTTAAACTCTCACTATGCACTTAGTAGGTAATATCAAACACTTCCTTATCTGAGCACAGTGGCTAATGCCTGTAATCCTAGCACTTTGGGAGGCCAAGATAGGAGGTTGACTTGAAGCCAGGAGTTTGAAACCAGCCTAGGCAATAGAACAAGACCTCACATCTACAAAAAATTTAAAAAATAGTTCCCACTGCTCAGGAGGCTGAGATCAGAGGATTGGTTGGGTCCATGAGTCTGAGGTTGCAGTGAGCTATCATGACACTACTGCACTCTAGTCCAGGCAACAGAGCAAGACCCTATCTCAAAAAAAAAAAACAGAAAAAGAATCCAGCATGGCTTTCAATGGTTTCAATGAAGGCAAAAAAAAAAAAGAAAGACCAGGAGACTTGGGCAATCTCTCAGTGCCTATTAAGGAATCAGCCAGTTTGGGGGAACCTGGGGGTAGAGGAAGGAACAGGGTTATGTCCTAGGCCCAAAATAGAGGCAAGAGACGACAGAAGAGGAGAAACAAAAACCTGCCTATAGATTGATCTGCAAATAATATCAGAGCAATCAGGAACCTCACTGACCCCATTGTAGTAGGCTGCAGTAATGTTCCAGATTCTTCTCTCTCCATATCCATTACTCTCTCCATATCCCATAACTTTGTGGGATCCTCTTATTCTGCAAAGGGGAAGGGTAGGGGCAAATTACCCAGCCCCTGATTCTGGGCTTGGCTATATGACTTGCTTTCCCTAGTAGGATATCAGCAGGTATGATGCAACCTAAATCTTAAAAAGCACCTGAAACTCTCTCATCACAAGAAAGACAGGACCAAGCCAGCTCACTGCCCCAGCAGGAAGGTGAGAGACATGTAGAGCAAGCTCACCCCAGTCAGCCTACCCTGGATCAGCTGATCCCAGCCAAGCCACAGATGCATGAGAGTGAATCATTATTTTTTTTAAGCCACTGAGTTTGAACTTGTTTGTTAGACCACAATTTAACATAGTTAAATGTCACTTCAACACAGAACCTTACCGTGGGCCCAACCTTCTCCACTCTCGCCCACACCCCAGGCAGGGCCTCTCAGTCCCTCTAGGAGGCACTAACCCTAAAAACACTTCTTCCCAATTAGCATGAGCCTCAGAGTCAGGAGCCCTGAGTTCCAGTCCTGGAATCACTAGCTTGTTAAGCCCCTGTTTTCTCATCTGGAAAATAGGTGGAATGTGGTCACATAGCCTACATTCTTAGAACGCTTGTGTGCCAAGCTCCATGTTATGCCTTTACACAGTTTTGGGAGACAGCTGCTTTTATTATTCACATTTCATTTGGGAAACTTAGACTCGGAGAGGCAACACAGCTCATCCACAACGTCATTGTGAGAAGGGGGGAGGGTTTAAAGCCACAATCTCTGGTCCTAAACCCAAAGTTTAACTCCTGCCTCATTCACCTTCCACTAGCTGGCTCTTCCCCTTCGTGCATCTGATTTGCAGAGTGGGGCTCTGCCAGCTACATTTCCTGGACTCCCATGCAACTGGGGTTTCAAATGTGATTAAGTGCCACCAATCAAATGCTGCCGTGCAAGCTTCAGAAGGCGAAAGAGGAGCACCACGGGCAGAGGAAATGCATCAGCTGCCCCTTCTGCAGATAAGCCTGGTCACAGTGTCTCCAACGCAGCTGCAACATCATTCCCAGAGGTTGATTCCTCGCTTTATAGCTGTTGAAAGGCAGGGCTCAGGCATCCATTCAACCAGACAGAGTCACGGAGGAGCAACATGGCCCCAGCACACAGCTGCGGTGGGGGCTTCTCCATTTGGCAAACACCTCCTGACTCTACAGCTTCCTAATCTGAGCAGTGGCAGCATCTCCCCTGGTGGCCAAGTTCTGTGTGTGGTTTTGGGAGATGTTCCTGAAATTTCAACCTAGGAACCATTTCTTCAATGCTCAAATGATTCTGTAAGCAAAGTAGTACGCTGTAAGACCCTTGGTCATTCTGCACCTGATCGCAAGAGTACAGATGCAAACATCTCTCCCAACTCCCTTATTTCAACATGGAAAGCCAAGATCCAGAGAAAGCAAGGGACTTAGCCAAGACCCCCTGAGAGCAGCTGTGTCCAACCCTGTGCTCCTTCCCTCCACCTCTGGTAACAGAGAGAAGGTAAAAGCTGGAGAATGTTTTGGCAAGAACCCAGGCATCCTGATTCAGAGCACACTTCAAATAATGCTTCTGTTGGTCTGGAGGCTTCTTTTCTTAATTTAAAAGAAGTTGTGTAAGTTGCCACTGAGTATCCCAAGGAAGACATTAGGCCTGAAACCATGTAATCACATGGCAGCCCCCAAGTTACCTGCCTGAAAAGCCCCACACTTGGCCAGACCAAAAATAGGACATTGGTCAGGAACAGTGGATCACGCCTGTAATCCTAGCGCCTGGGATGTGGAGGTGGGAGGGTGGCTTGAGCTCAGGCATTCAAGACCAGCGTGAGCAAGAGTAAGACCCTGTCTCTACTAAAAATAGAAAAAAATATTAGCCAAGCGCCTGTAGTCCCAGCCTCTTGGGAGGCTGAGCTAAAAGGATCGCTTAAGCCCAGGAGTTTGAGGTTGCAGTGAGCGCTGATGACACGGTTGCACTCTAGCTGGATGACAGAGTGGAGCAAGAGTCTGCCAGGAAAAACCACATCTTGGTAAGAATACAAAGTGGTTGTCTCTGATGAGTATATAAAAAAAATTAAGTAGTAACTAATACATATAAATGATTATATATATTATGCATAACATATACTGGAATACATATTGCACGTACTTTAGAAATGTGTGTATGTATGTATTTGAAAAGCACTCATTTTACAACAAAAGGGCAGTTACATAAGTTGGCTAAATTTGGCTTCATGAAAAATTGATTTTTTAAAAGATCTGGCTGTAGCAGGTAACTTTAATCCTGAATTATCTTCTTCAAAATTCAAAAACACATTTTATCTTATTCCAACTGTATCTTTCTTGAAGTTTTCGTGCTAGCCCTGGTTTACAGTATGATGTCTTTTTTTTTTTTCTTGCATTTGCCTCGATCTTATTTTTGCAAGACTTGGCAAAACGTGTGTGCAGTGGCTTTTCCATCGATTATCCTCATGTTCAGGGCACATTTTTCTGGCTCTGGTCTGAGGAACCCTGCATTAAACAAACTTCTGCTCTCCCATAAATTTTGCAAATCTAGAGTACAACCCTTTAGCTCTGATATTACAGATCACAGAAAGCAAAGCTGCCCTGCCCCAACCCTCCTCCCACGGATCCCAGTCACGTCTGGCCCTTTGGAACTTCCGGGGCTGAGCCTGTGTTTGGCGCTCAAGGCCAGCTAGAGCAGGGTGTCCTCAAGCCCTCTGAAGTCTGCTGGCCCAACTTCCTTTTGGAAACTCATCTCCTGCTTCCTTCCCTCCACATCTCACTTCAGCCAAATGCACCTTCCCTCCGTGTCCCTAAACCACACCTCTACTCACTCTGCTCCCTCCTCCTCCAGCCCCTGACATCCCTACATGCTCAAATCCTTCAAGGGAAGCTCTGATAATAAAAACAGCCAATCATTTGAGCTTTTATTATGTGCCTACCTTGTACCCTCCAGAATTTTAAAGTAGTGACACTTTCTGAAGGACTCCTATCAATAAGTCCTTTGTGTCCATTTCCATTTAAATGGTATGACCATCCTGAAAGGCTCACCTCAGGGAGCGAGTAGCAGAGTTAAATAACTTCTCTGAGGTCCTCCGGCCAGAAAGGAGTGAAGCCAGCCAGGGGGCAGGCGGTTTGCTATCAGAATCACACTCTTCCTGACAACACTCTCTAAGGGTCTGGGCAGGCCATAGGCCCATTGTAAATAACTGTTGTCTTGGAGAAAGGCTATAAACACCTCAAAAAGCTAAGCTTTTTTTTTTTTTTAACCATATGATATGATCCAGCAATTCCAGTCCAAGAGAAATGAGAGAATATGTCCATGCAGAAACTTGCATGTAATGTTCATTGCAGCATCATTTTCAGTAGCCCAAAGGTGGAAAGAACACAGATGTCCATCCACCGATGATGGAGAAACACATTAAACAATGTACACACCGCAGAATAATATCCAGCCATAGAAATGAATTCGGGGGTGATACCTGCCACAGCATGACTGAACCTCAAAAAGATCCACAGTGACCTTGTCACTACAGGATGGTGATAATGGGGAGACGGTGTGTATATGGGCCAATGGTTAGATGGATCTCTGTACCTTTCCCTTAATTTTGCTAGGAACCCAAACTGCCCTAAAAATAAAGTCTGGGTTTTTTTAAGTCACTTAATTAGTGTGCCAGAGCTGCTGCAATAAAGTACCACAAACTGGGTGATTTAAGGAGAAATGTATATCCTCATCATTCTGAAGGCTGGAAGTCCAAAATCAAGGTATAGCAGGGTTGTTTCTCCCGAGGCCCCCTCCCTGGCTGGCAGATGGTGTCCTCTCCTGCTGTCCTCACACAGTCTTCCCTCTGTGTGCGTCTGTGTCCTAATCTCCTCTTCTTAAAAAGACGCCAGTCATAGCGATTAGGGCCCACCCTAATAAACTCAATTTCAGTTAAGCGCCTCTATAAAGATACTCTTTCCAAGTACAGTCATATTCTGAGATGCTGGGGATTAGGACTTCAACATAAGAATTTCAGGAGACACAACTCAGCCCCTAACAGTCATATATGATTTTTTTGCTGAGAAATGTCCAGAACAGGCAGACCCACAGAGACAAAGCAGATCCCTTATAACCAGGGCAAAGGGTGGGGGGAGAAGCAGGAGTGAGTACTTACTGGGTACAGGGTTTTCATCCTAAAACAAGAGCAGGCTGCTGGTTGCACGGCATTGTGGATCATAAACTGTGAAGGGTTAATTGCATTTTATGTGAATTTCACCTTCATAAACAAAAAAGGCTTTTCAAAAAGGGAGGGGGGCTATGTAAACTTGAGCCTCTCTCACAATTCCCATCCCTGCCCTCCCAGCCAAGTTGTAAGTTCTTAGTGGGGAAGATGGAACACTCAGGGATGATGGATTCCTGAGTTTTCCTAAGTCAAGTTTGCCAAAAAGAGAAGGAAGAAAATGGTCCCGATTTCAGGAGGATGTAAATGAAAGCAGAGCTCCAAGCAGAGTATCAATCCAGAGAACCAACCACTGTGAGTCTGAGACTGGCCAGGTGTGAAGTTTATTCCTTTGTTCTGGGCCCCTTGCCAGTGCCTGCCAGGAGGCTCTGTAAATGCGCTGCTGGCCCCAAGCTTGGGCCCTGCCATTGTTCTCTAAAAGGAGAACTGTTGCCCAGATTTCACCTGAGGCTGGGGAGTCAGAAAAGCAGACAACTAAATTGGGGACCAGAGAGCCTGTATCAGTGCCCACCTGGGGCTGCAGCCTGGGCCTGCCTCCTCCCCACCCGCCCCAGCAGGGCTCTATGGGGACCTGGGGTCCCCAAGCCCAGCACTTCCCACAGCGCACTGAAGCATTTACTTTCTCCTCTGTCTTCCACTCTGGCCTAGGAGGCCCTGGGGAGGTGGGACAGGGTCTCATTCTATCTTGGGTCCCCCATGAGCAGAACAGAGCCTGAAACAGAAGAAATGTTCAATTAAAGTTGGTGGAAGGAAGGAAGAAAAGAAGGAAGACATTTGTTAGAAAGCAGACGGCCTGCCAGGCTTAATTCCCCATGGCCAGGCGACCCAACCCCCTCCCCTGAGGGATAGTAAGGCCTGGATGCACTGGGAGCTTTCAGGAGGCGAGAGGGCTGAAAGGGTCTGTCCTTCATGTCATTTTGCTGTCTTCGAGGTCATGAACTTGATTTGATTCATCATATGCTCTGTCCCCTCCCCCAACACACACACACAGACACACACACCCCTCAATGGATGCACCATTGCCTAGGCCTCCAAAATTTCTCCTGAAATGGACAACTCCTTTCCAGGGATAACCCTCTCCCTACGTGCCCCAGAGGCAGAGGCAAAATCTATGGGTCCCTAGCAGAACCTTGAGTCACTCCTTAACAGCCAAAGCCTCAGCTCCTGAGAACCCTTCCCCTTGCTCCCCCTGCTTCCTCTACACCTGCCCTCCCACCTCTTGTGGGCATCTCTGTCTTCTGGACATCTCCACCTGGAGCTCCCCCAGGGACCTGGACACAGGAGATTAGCACATCCTCCAGCCCCTGCAAAGTTGCTCCTGATCCCGCGTCCTCAGTCACACCCCTCAGCACGTACATCCAGGTCCTGGGGTCACTGCAGTGGTCCCCTCTCTCATCCTCACAATCAATCAAACACTGTGTCCATCTCATCCCACGTTCAACCCACCATCACCTTTCTTAGAACCACAGCCATAGATCTTCCAACCTCTCCAGCCCACCACACTATAGCCAGAGTGAGTTCTCCAACACCATGGCAACCAGGGCAACATTCTCCTCCTCCAGGACAAAGTCCCATGTCCCCATCCCTCCCCCATCTGGTAACAAGTGCACTACGAGCCTGTCCCCTCTATGAGCCTGTCCCCTCTACGAGCCTGTCTCCTCTGTCTCTTCCAGCTCAGCCATTTCCTGCAGTCACACCAGCCCAGTGTCCAGCTCAGCCACTTTCCTGCAGTCACACCAGCCCAGTGTCCAGCTCAGCCACTTTCCTGCAGTCACACCAGCCCAGTGGTGATTTCCCACATGAACCGTCCTCTGCTCTTCCTTCATACCCTGCATGCGTTTCGTCTCCTGAGGCCTTTTCCTATGAAGCCTCTCCAGTGTCCCAAGCAGAGGCGGCTGATTCTTCCCCTGTGCTCCCATAGCAGGATGAGTTAGGACCCACATCATAGTATTGTAATGATCCATTTGCAGCGTTTGCTTCATCTACCAGATGACAAATGTCTTGAATTCAAACTCTACGTCTTGCTCTAAGAATGCCAACAGTGCTTAGGAATGTGCCTGAGAATAGGGTAGGTGACACTAAGTATTCGTTGGAAGGAAGGGAGGAAAGAGAGAGAGAGGGGAAGGGAAGGAGAGAGGGGAAGGGAAGGAGAGAGAGGAAGGGAGGGAGGAATGGGAGAAGAGAGGGGAAGGGAAGGAGAGAAAGGAAGGAAGAAAAAAAGGAAGGAGAGAGGGAGGGTGGGAGGATAGGAGAAAGGAAGGCTGGAGGAAGGAAAGACAAGAAGGATAAAGGGAGGACGAAAGAGAGAAGGAGGAAGGAAAGAAGGGAGGGAGGGAGAGAGAGGGAGGGAGAGAAGGAGGCAGGAAGGAAGGAAGGA